GCTCAAATCTGCTAATTTGAAATACTCCGTATGTTAGACACTATTAAGATTCTATAAGTGGCTGGTAGCACCAGTGGATAACGCTTCTTCACAAGTCCACATCTAGATCCTGTTTCCCGTAGCTTGTAACTTGACCAAACTCCAGCCATCTTGTCTTAGACCTTGAAAACTGTACTTTTAAGCTGTCTTGGTTTTCTTGTTTTGGGGGAGAAAGGGCTTTGGTTTGAGAAAAAGAGTTAAGAATTGCTTTGTCGTTTCTGCACACAGTCTTAAGGGAAGAATATCCTGGTTTATTCATGTTTAAAAACAAATTCTGCTGGTGCTAGATGGAAATGCTCTAGTCTCAATTTATGTTTGAAACTTATCAGGGAATGTGTGCAGCTTTTGCTCAGTAAAAGATTGCCGATTTTTTTCAACTAAGCTTTAGAAGCTTTGAAATTTTTTTTTTGTATGTTCAAACTTGTTTGAAGTTGGCAGATAAACTTTCCCAAGATTTCCTTCTTACTATGTTTTCACAGCGGTGTGAGCATGTTCCTACGTTCTTCTCAGTAGCCTAGATCTCCTTTGGTGATCTCTTGAAGGACTTTTCCCCTGGAATAGTAGAGAGTGGGAGACGATGCTTGAACCCAGGTAGTTTGGGGTTTCCTGGGAAGGAGGAAAAAGGAAATGAGAGAAAGGGTTAGCTGGAGGCTTAGACCCACAGCTTGAAAGTGGGAGGAACAAATGCTGGTTTAGAAATGCAAATGCAGGAGCTGGTTTGGTGTAAAGACTTGTGAAGACTTGTATTCTTGGGAGTAAGGAAAAAGGAGGGAGCCTGAAACTGTGTAAAGAAATTGACACAAAGAGCTACAACAGAAGGGAGAGGGCAGGGGCTGAGAGCAGGGAGAGGGCTGGAGAGGCTGATAAGGGAGATGAAAAGATGGGTGCTGACCAAAAAAGGGCTCTTTCTGAAAGCCAGGGCTCTGGAGGTTGTGATTAGGTAGGAAAGGTGGATGGGACTTAAAAGGGTGTGTGAGGTTCAAAGGGCTTTACTGAGGAACAGCAACAAAAGAAACAGATTCGTATCCTCTGGAAAGCTTTGGGTGTCCAGAAGCAGTGCGCATACTGTTAGTTGCCAGCTGTCAGCACGTGCTCAAAAAGGAGAGTGTCCCCAGCTTCCTCTGCTCACCTGTGTAGATGACAGTCACCCTGTAGTGCCGAGTGACGTCTGATACAAGAGCCGCTGCTTGGACTCAGGATTTCAGCGTCCTGGCTGGTCACTTGTGATGTCTGTAGAATATAACAAGCATGCGTGGAGGGGTTGTTTGCTCGATTTGGTTTGGTTTCACTTCCTATAAGTTTGGGTTATTAATAATACTAAATCAATTGTTCCTAAGTGGGGATAAGCTAGAACTAAAACCATTTATATGGCCTTGGTTCGCACACTTTACGCCCACACATTGTGTTAATTTTCAGTTCTGTTGCTTGGGGAAAATAGCTCAGTGTTTTTTTAAATCTGTTGCTTACAAAGCAAAAGGTAAGAGCTCTGTTTGAGCTTCTGGCACTTTTTCCTGATTTGTCATGGCCCCTTTATGCCTTATTCATTGTCTCTTACTCCAGCTGTTTCCACAGCAGAATGACTTCCTTTATGCAGCGAAGCTTGCTGCCCCAACAGGCATCCTTCACATCTCGGTTGCCTTTGGAGAAGGCTGCTCTAATTGTGGCTGCAGCACACTGAGAGCAGAGCTCTGAGCTGCACACTGCTCTCGCCCACGTCAAAATTCTTCCGTAATTCTTCGTTCCCTGCCCCTTGCTGCTGGCTCGCTCAGGCTCTAGGTCGATCTGCTCACGGAGCTGGGTCAGCAGGCCCCTCTGATACAGGGTGCTCTGCTAGCGCAGGCAGCGCTGGATGCAGCTGATCGCTGCGCTGGGACCACTGCAGGGGGATTTGGTGGATAGCACCTCTGCTTACTGCAACTTAAAAGTCCAAAAACTTGTTCTGGTGCTTGCTGATCTTTCAGGTTGTCTTGCTTTTCCCAAACTTCTCAGGGGAAGTTAATTTAGCTGCAGAATAGATCCTTAGAGGTGAGTTCAGGTTTTCTATCCTGTATGAATGGGAGAGAGGGTGGCTAAGAGTCAGTATTTATAGTAGCGTGTTGTTAAATGAGTGCTTACAATTATGCTTTATAAGACTTAGCAAGCCTGCTGTGAGAGTTATGTCATTGTCCTAACTGCAGGACAAGCCTGAAGTTTTTTATTTGCTTGAGGAGAATGGTTGTGTAGCAGCATTCCAGTTTTGCTTGTGATGCCACATGCTAAAGAGCTTCTAAGAGAGAAACCCTGCCAGCGTGGTGCTGGCCCCCAGGCATCCACCTTAGTGCATTTTAACTGTGAAATAACTGCAGTGGTGACTTTCATGGCCTGGAGAGGAAGAGCTGCTGGGAGACTTTCAAACACTTGCTGCAAAAAACAGTGGCTGCAGTGATAGTGTTGCTGGTGTTGCTTTCCACACAGGTACCTGCTGTGCACTGGGCAGTGACCGCCTATAAACTCATGTACATTCTGTTCTCTTGTCAAGGTCCGAGACCTGTTCTCTCTTGCTCGTAAAAATGCCCCTTGCATTCTCTTCATCGATGAAATCGATGCGGTGGGGAGGAAGAGAGGAAGGGGCAACTTTGGAGGGCAAAGTGAACAGGAAAACACTCTCAATCAGCTGCTCGTGGAGATGGATGGCAAGTACTTAATTTCTAATTTGCATTATAGTAATACGGGTCTGCTCATATTTTCCTAATTTAAGTGTAGACTGAGCTGATAGCTACCTTAATGCAGCTGTAGTTCTGGGTATGAGGAGGAAGTGTACGTGTGTGGCAATGGAGGAACACAACTAATATACTTGTTCAGACTTCTTAATAAGGACTTGGGTTCTAATGTAAATGAAAATGAGCCTGTTTTTGCTTCCTGCAAATGAAGAAAGGTGACTCAGTTTGCTGTAGCCTGATTTTGTCCAAGAAAAAAATAACACAGCTTCTTTGCACAGATTCTTTGTCAAAGTTGAATAGGAATGAAAATCTCTGTGAGAGGGCATATACATGTACAAAGCCAAAGAAAAGGACACCAGCCTGCTAGCCATGTTCATCTTGCAGTTTCCGGAGCACTTAATTTATAGTTGTGTTTTTCTGGAGATAAGCTAGGATTTGATACAGTGCTTCATAAAGCAGAGCCCCCCAGGCACTTTTTGCTTGTTATGAAAGCTGAACAGTGCTCTAATAAATAGAAATAGGTCCAACTTTGGGATCATTTATTTGAGGTGTCATTTCTGTGGTCCTGTAAGACCTGTCTTCCTGTTTCTGCTTTGCTTTTTCTTTGTTTGTTTTCCTCCTGGGAAATCATATTTACAGACTTTTACTGTGTTTCTTCAACAGGATTTAACACAACCACAAATGTAGTCATATTGGCAGGGACTAATAGGCCAGATATTTTGGATCCTGCTCTAATGAGGCCAGGACGTTTTGACAGACAGATTTACATTGGTAAGTTTATCTGCATCACTATATACTTCTCCATATTTAGAAATCACTGCAATTGTTTACCTGTGTAATTTCTTACATGCACTCAAAAACGTGTGCAGAATAAATACTTTCCTTTTAATCTTAAAGGACCCCCAGATATAAAAGGAAGAGCATCTATTTTTAAAGTCCACCTTAGACCTCTCAAGTTAGATGCAGTCTTAAACAAAGACAACCTAGCCAGAAAACTTGCTTCACTGACACCTGGATTTTCTGGTAAGTGATCATTTTATGCCACTGTTCCTCTGCATTAACTATGTTAGCTGTAGGTATTTTATTTCCCTGCTGCTTGTATTATTTCTTGCATCCAGTCTCTTGACTGGCTGTCTTTATATATAAATATTTATATTTTGCTTTATTTATTGATGCACCATGAAATTCTTTTCGCCTGTTTTGAGTTAGTGAAGGTCTTATGTTTGTCTCTATCAATGCATGTGACATAGCAAGCAAATCTTTAGCAGAAGCATTCCAGAAATGCCTTTACCTACTGCTACAGAAGACTGGCTTTATTTTTGTAGGGTTTATGTATGCATTCTGTAGTAGGGGGGGATTTCTATTTCTGGATACTGAAGCTTTTTTATGGAAGATGTACTTGTAACATTTTATTTAATTAGAGATGGATATGAAGATATGAAAACTTTCTGTGATGGTTTGGAATTTAATCCATTTAAAATCCATATCGACAGATAGTTGAACCCTCAGTTGTCTTATGGGTTACACAAATGATCCTTGTGTAAAGACCTGATAGTCTGCATCTCTAGCAGCTGCAGTGTGCCTTTTTTTTTGCCCCCCTTTGAACTAAGTTATCTCTGCAGCAGTACTGCAAATAATGTACTTATGTTTCTAGAGGGTATCCTTTCCCAGCAAGACCTGAGCTATATTGGATCCATAAGCAGGAAACTTGGCCTGCTGACTCTATACTAGTCTAAGCATAGTCTGCAGAAAAAATGCAGAAGTTAGAACATGCTGTTCTAGTACTTCACTGGTAATAAACTTAAAATATGCATTAAGGAATTACAGTATATGTAATTGTTTCAGAGAGCATTACTTTAAATCTTTAGGCTCTGTGAGAATCTGTAGAAATCCAATATTAGATTTTCTCAGTGCTAGACCATGAGATAAAATTGTTGAAAATAAGCAACTCTGCTGCCTGTCTTTAGGTGCCGATATTGCTAATGTCTGTAACGAAGCTGCTTTAATTGCTGCCAGGCATCTCTCGGATGCTATAAACCAAAAGCATTTTGAGCAAGCGATTGAAAGAGTTATTGGAGGTAGGTTAATTGAGTAAGTCGCTCCTCAGCTTTTTGTTCATTTGTTTTTGCTTTGATGTATTCTAGTTAAGGGCGGCTTTTTGGATACCTTTAGTTTGGCTTGGGCTTGCTGGCTCTCTCTGCACGAGATTTCAGTGGAGAAAGGTTTGTCTGTAACTATTAACTGAATTTTATTCTTTAAAGGTTTGGAAAAAAAAACTCAAGTACTGCAACCAGAGGAGAAGAAGACTGTAGCGTACCACGAGGCAGGGCACGCAGTAGCAGGATGGTTTTTGGAACATGCTGACCCACTCCTAAAGGTGAGGGAAATCAACTGGAATAAGGAGTTGCTGTATAGTACGGGTCGTGTTTTCTTCTGTTGCTGTTTTGTTTTTTCTTGATGTTAGGAAGGTATTAAAATGAACAATCCCACAAGAGAGAGTGTGTAGCGTAGTGGGCACTACTAGTGTACAGTCAATGCACTACCCTGGTTCACCTCTCACAGCTTTGCTGTGACTCTGCTGCCTCCAGGGTGATGGGGGCTCATAGTGCAAAAGACCCGGAGAAGTGAAAGGGACTGAGTCTTCTCATGAGGCTGCCTGCCTTGATATCTGCTTTTTCTCCAAGGCTTTCAGACCTAAGGTTTAAAAAACTGTATGAAAGGTTGCTCAGGTAAATGCATCTTCGGGAATATCGCTGTAAAAATATTCATCTAGAGACTAAAATGTTGATTTGAGTCTTGAATAAAAAGCTTGACAAATTGTAGGTCAAAAATGCCCCCATCTTCTGAATTTGCTTTAACTATCAGTTAAGTGTGTTCTTAATCTTGTCTGGTTTAAAAGACAAAACTTACACTTGAACAATTTATTGTTGGAAACAGAGGAGTTAATAAGCACAGAGGTTTCTGGCTATGCTGTGATTCGGAGTACCAGAGGTGCAGCAATGTTATGTCTGCTACAGAATCCTTTAAACCCAGTATGTAATTTGAAAAGACTTCTAGATTCCCATGAACAGATTCAAAATGTCAGGGCATCCTTTCGAATGGAAAAGGTGTTCCAATGGTCTCGCTGCTGGAATACCTTGCTTTCCAGGTATTCTAGGAGTTCGGACCCTGTTTCAAACTCGCTAGGGCTTTTAGGGGTAAGTCACAATGAAGCCAAAACTGTAAATAGAAATAATGTCTAGTTCAAGGATTGCCATGGTGGGGATTGTGGTGTTTAAAAGCTAATAGCCGAAGAATGCTTTAGAGCAAATCCTCACCTTCTGTGAATTCTCCCTGTAGGTATCTATTATACCACGTGGTAAAGGCCTGGGCTATGCTCAGTATTTACCCAAGGAGCAATATCTTTATACCAAAGAGCAGCTGCTTGACAGGATGTGCATGACCCTGGGAGGACGCGTGTCCGAGCAGATCTTCTTTGGGAAAATTACAACAGGAGCCCAAGATGACTTGAAGAAGGTGACCCAGAGTGCGTATGCTCAGGTACGTGCTCATCTTCTTAGCTGGCACTGCAGTTTCCAAAGGATGTGGTTTAATCATGTGTGCCTCTCAAAGGCCCGCTTTAGTAAAAGATGACATGACTAAACGTGCAGCTGTAGTACAGAGATGATGATGATTCGTGTATTTTTATCATACAGTCATATAATAGAAATCAGAATTGTAACAGATTGCATTGGGCTTTGATTAGTCTCTTACATCCCTACAGGAACATGTATCCTCCAGTTGCATTCAAATTTGTGGCAACTGTGTACCCTAAAAATTTTATTTAGGATGCAGGTTTGGTTCTGTGATTTTTCTTTTACTCTTGTCCAGTTTAAAGAGCTGCTTTGGATTCACATGTGTAATTAAACCCAGAAAACCTTGTTTATAAGCAGTTTGCTGACAACTGAATGCTGGTGAGATTAACACACTAGTTAGTACCACATCAACTAGTACAGATGAGTAATCTGAAATCTTATCAATAAAATTACTCCTCTATGTGTAACTCTATGCCTAAACATTCATTTCATTTCTTATACCAATATTGCTTTAGAATACATTTCTGCTGTACAACTCCGCACATACACGCCCCCACCCCATACCTGCCTTATGACTTCCTATACACTTCTTGTTGCTGCCTTTCTGAAAGCTAAATGTGTGAGGAAATTTACTGATGATTTTTCTGCCTTTCCTCATTCTTGTTCAATTTTAAATAAAAACGTTTAGAAAACATTTTTTTCCTCCACAATAAAAACATTGTTTCCAGTGAGAGTTGGCGGTTTAAGGAAAAGTTTCTCTTTGTTATGATGCAGGTTCAGGTACTTGGCTCTAGTGAGGTGATCCTCCTGGATGCTCAGTATATTGTCATGCCTATTTCCATCCTGGAGAAGTGCCACTTTAGTCATCATTAAACTGGTAGTGGCCATGGAGAGAACATGTAAATGAGTTCTAAATAGTCATGTGAATTTTTCTGCCTCTGCTGTGATAAAATGCAGCTTTTGAAACCTTTTGAATTGGATTAACTTATCTGTTTCTGGCAAAGGAAAATAGTTGTACTACTTAGCGAAGGCTTATGTATTTTTTGATGCTTAAATAAAGCATTGAGTACATCACAAGAATAACCACTTTAACATGGTGGCATTTGAGTACTTCAGTCTTTAGTTGTGTTTTTTTTTTTTTTTGTGTGTTTTTTTTTTGTTATTTCCACTTTGGTAGCCTGTAGTTTTTCAGGAAAGATGGATTTTAGAGAAATTATACTTCCTTTTAGTAAAGCCTAAAATCTTTATAATGATTCTTGCTGTTTCCCCGCAGATAGTTCAGTTTGGTATGAATGACAAGGTAGGGCAGATCTCCTTTGATCTGCCCCGTCAAGGAGACATGGTGCTGGAGAAACCCTACAGCGAGGCAACTGCCAGGCTGATAGACGAAGAGGTGCGCACGCTCATTAACACGGCCTACAAGAGGACGCTGGCTCTGCTGCGCGAGAAGAAGGAGGACGTGGAGAAGGTGAGCGCCAGGGTATTTTAGCCACCCAGCTCCAGCTGGTGAACCAGATCAGAAAGTGGGATGTGAAGTGTGGCACACCAACCAAGCTCCCGTGTTCAAGATGGGCACGTCTACATGTATGCACATGTATAATGGCAGCCATGGCCCAAGGGGGAGATGCTCTGGCAAATCTTGTAAGCAGGATTTTAAAAATGGTGCTTTTGGTAGTGCATGTGGGGGAAAAAATCACTTAAGTGAGTTCTGAGCAACCTGTTTCTTCCATGAAAACCTAATCTGTTCCGAGCTGGCTAAACCCTTTCTAAGAAAGAGACAAGATGATGTATTTTGTGTGCTATAACTTGCTGCTCTTCCAGGTGGCTCTACGGCTACTGGAGAAAGAAGTGCTTGACAAGAGTGACATGGTAGACCTGCTCGGCCCGAGACCCTTTGCAGAAAAGTCTACTTATGAAGAATTTGTTGAAGGTACGGGAAGCCTGGAGGAGGATACTTCACTGCCAGAAGGCCTTAAAGACTGGAACAAAGATCGTGAGAAAGAGAAGGAGGAGACAATAGACGAGCAGGTCGCCAGGCACATCAGAGGGGTGCCCTTTTAGCATGGAGCATGTGGTCATGTTGACTTGCAGTCTGGAACTCGCCTAGCGTGTACCTCCAAAACAAAAAAGATATTTATTCAACCAAACTGTATTAGGAATGGGTGGAAGAGTGATGTCAGACAAGGATGTTCTGCTCCCACTTCATGTGTGTGATCATCAGCTCACTGGTAAAGGAGGATCGTCTTTTGTTTGTCAACTGAAGGCACACATTGGATTTGAGCTGCCGTGCAATGCCAGAACTGAACCTCTCAAACTTGGAAATAGTTCAGATTCATGCATAAAATTAGTGGCACTGGTCTCTTTTTTAATAAGCAATCTAATAAAAATTAAAGTTCTGTGATTATTGATCTAAAGCAAAACTGTATGTGACATGTTCCAAAGAGGGGGGAAAAAAAATCATACAAAATGCATTGTTGAATGCTTAGCCAAAAGTCTGGTCTAACTGAAAAAGTACTAGCTTTGCAGAAATACCAGCTCTTTCATCTGACCTAACCTGCCCCTTCATTTTGGTTTTTAAAAGTCTGTTTACAAAGAGCTGCCATGTAAGTTGGTAATGAAATTGGATACCCACTTAAATATCTTAAAATATAGTCATGGTTCTGTGTCTTAAATTAAGTATGAAAATCAATTTGGCTCCTGCAGTTTTAGTAGTCAGTTTTTTTACAGAGTTCTGTAAAATATTGAACATACAAATGTGTTGTGTAAATACAGTTTGAGTCAATAAAATCAGTACTTTTCTGAATGATGTTTGCTGATTTCTTGGCACAGTTTTATTCATAAATACCAAAACTGGTAGCTAAATATAAGGGTGTCAGATCTGCTTAGAGCAGTCCACTTGTGTGTGTCCGCTGTGCATGTGGGGAATCCTGTTCAGAAGGTATGTGACAGGCTCCCCATGCTGGAGGGAGGGAACAGAGTTTGGAGGATGTTCTTTCAGGAGATGGGGGAGAGGAGGAGAAGGAAGGGGGGGGGAAACTAGAAAGCCTCTCTGGTGGACAAGAAATCCTTTAATGGTATGTTCTTGAGGGCAGGATAAGGGAATAATTGGCAATTGATTCGAGCTTTATGTTTTGACAGGCTGGAAGGCAGGAGGAGGGCAGTGGAGAAGAAAAGATTCTCCGATGGGTCAGGCATAAGCTCTTTATTGCTCCAGTTAGTTGAAACACAGTGTTTATGGAAAAGGCTTTTGCTGCTGCCGTCTGCGCTGTTGCCTGGCACGCAGCGCAGGGGGAGGAGGCAGAAGGTGGCAGTGTGGGGCACGCTGACTGCGCTGCTTTAGGTACCCATCAGCAGCTCTGGGTGCTCTTCTTAGCCACGTCTTAGTAGAATGAGCAATGAACGAGAAAACATCCTCAATAAAACTGAACTTCAAAGTCCATGTTGTTGGAAGCAAAGTTGAGCATGAATGAATTACTGCAATTTGTAAAAACAAAAACCTTAAACCCGACACAGCTGGAGAAGTAATGATGGATGTCTTTAGCTGCACTCTATTTCCCACATAATCTGCAGTAATGCCTGCAGTTTGCTCTGTTTCTTGTTCAGAATAGGCAAGTTTCAGGCACTGCTGAGGACTGAATACGTGTTTCTGTGATTCTGTGAAAATACTTATGTCCTAAAGGCCAGGGCTCTAACTTTTTTGGGGGCAAGGGACAGGGAGGGAGCAGGGGGCTGGGACACCCCTAACTGTGCTCTTTGCAGTGGCACCACTTGCTGCTGCCTCCCCTCTCCTGGGAGTCTTCTCTCCCCATCCCTGGCTGCTGGGTTGTAAATTCCACTCTTGCTAACAACATAGCAGCTAAATAAGCTTCTGATGACACAGAGGAGGTGCAAGTCTTAGTCCTTGGTTTAGAGCATCAACTTGCTCAAGCTGCTGTCAGTAAATTCTAGTATGTATGTAGAATCACAGAATGCTTAAGGATGGAAGGGACCTCTAGAGATTGTCTAGTCCTACCCCCCTCTTCCAGCAGGGACACCCAGAGCACATGGCACAGGGTGGCATCCAGGTGGGTTTTGAAGATCTCCAGAGAAGGAGACTCCACAACCTCCCTGGGCAGCCTGTTCCAGGGCTCTGTCACCCTCACTGTTAAGAAATTTTTCCTTAAGTTTCTGTGGAACTTTTGATGCTTCGGTTTCCGGCCATTTCCTCTAGTTCTGGGCTATCGGCTACTCCTCCCAGTTTGGTATCATCAGCAAACTTGCTGAGGGAGCACTCTGTGCCTTCATCCAGGTCATTGATGAATAAATTGAACAGGACTGGACCGAGGGCTGACCCCTGGGGGACCCCGCTAGCTACAGCATAAACTGTTACTGGCACACAAGTGTCCGTTCTGGGCTCTCCACAGCCTCTGGCTACCTATTCTGATTATCATACATATGCTCTTCCTTGTGTCAGCATAGCTCTCCATATAGCCACGCAGCGAGGCAGAGAAATGCATAGAGATTTTTAATTGGGTAAATCCTGATCACATGAAGATTTGGATCAGCACAAGGAGAAGGAGTTCACAATGAATAGCTGAGCCCTGATCATCAGAGAAGGACAACCTGTCAGTGGCAATAATGGTTTACTCACCATGAAGGTATAACATTATGCTATATTAGATTAATATAATATTAATATATTAATGGCATCTCCCTCGTTCTCCAGGACCTTTCGAAGATGATGGGAGAGCGGCCTCGCAATAACATCCACCAGGTCCTGCAACGCTCTGGGGTGCATCCCATCAGGGCCCATGGATTTGTGGGTATCGAGGTTCCTTAGGTGCTCTCTGACCCAATCTTCCTCGACCCAGGGCAAGTCTTCAGTAACTCTGCTTTTTCTCTGTCTTTCATAATCAGGGCACCCACCCCGTTCACCAGCAGACCCATGTTTTTGCCTAATCTTCCTTTTGCCATTGATATATTTGAAAAAGCTCTTGTTATTTTTGACATCCCTGGCCAGATTTAATTCCATTTGTGCCTTAGCTTTCCTTGTAGCATCCCTGCACTCCCTGACAACATTCCTATATTCCTCCCAAGGAGCCTGTCCTTTTTTTCTACTCTATGTATACTGCCTTTTTCTGCATTTTAACAGCAGCTCCTTGCTCATCCACTCAACCAGCTCACGGTTGCTGCAGCCAAGGCTACCCCGCACTGTCCCATCACCAAGTCTCTATTTGTTAGTACAAGGTGCAGTAGCCTACTTCTCCTCATTGGCTCCTCCACAATCTGTGTTAAAAAGTTATCATCAATGCTCTGCAGAAACCTACAGGAATGTTTGTGCCTGGCTGTGTTGTCCTTCTAGTCGATGTCAGGGTGATTGAAGTCTCACATGAGAACCAAGGCCTGAGACCATGAAGCTACTTCCAGCTGTCTGTAGAAGGCCTCATCAACTTCCTCATCCTCATCAAGTGGCCTGTAGTAAATGCCTACTGCAGTGTCTCCCACATGAGCCTGCCCTCTAATCCTTTCATTCCAGTTGCTCTCCAACATAAAGAGCAACTCCACCACCTTGCCTTCCCAGCCTGTCCTTCCTAAAAAGCACATAGCCTTCCATAACAGTGCTCTAGTCGTGTGAGCTGTCCTGACATGTCTCTTGCCAACGAGACCATGATGCTGGGGCCGCACACAGATCTCAAGTTCATCCTGCTTATTTCTCATGCTTCGCACATTGGTGTACAGGTATTTCAGGGAAGTAATTGAGCCTACAGGTTTCCCAGGAGGGGTGAAAGAGACCCTCCCTTGGTAATCATCTCCTATACTCACTTCCCCACTACCATACTCCTGTTGGACACCTTCTGGCTTTGGCTGCATGCCAATGATAGCCCTGTCCATGTAACCTTCCCCATTCCCCTTCTTGCTTACTTTAAAGCCCTCCTAACCAGGTTGGCTAGCCTTTTGGCAAAGACATGCATGCCCCTCTTGCTCAAGTGGTTCTCATTGTTCCCCACTAGCTAATGATCCTCAAACAGCGTCCCATGGTCATAGAAACCAAAACCCTGTTGCGAAGGCCAGCAGTGCAGTCAGTTGTTAACCTGTAATATTCGTCTTTTCCTCCTCATACCCATTCACCTCATTGGCAGGATAGAGGAGAACACAACCTGGGCACCCAGACCTTTGACTGCAGCCCCTAGGGCTCTGAAATCTTGTCTGATGTTACTCATTTTCCCCATGGCATTGTTAGTGCCCACATGAAACAGTAACAAGGGCTAATAGTCAAATGCTTGGACAAGCCTTGGCCGTCTCTCCGTGACATCCCTTATTCAAGCCCATGGAAGGCAACAGACTTCTCTGGACAAGGGGTCAGGTCTACAGAGTGGTGCCTCCGTGCCCTGCAGCAGGGAGTCACCCATGACAATCACACTCTGCTTCTTCCGGGTGCTCCTTTTCCTCTTACTGGAGGAGTAAATCCTCACTTTTTGTTGTGTCAAAAGGGGGCAGAACTTGACTGAGCGGGGATTTTGGAATGAAGATGACAGTTGTGCCGCTGTTCACCTTCTTCCACCCCTGCACGTTTAAGACTTCAGAAGGTTTAACCTAGATCAACTGAGCACAAGTACGTGGCTGCAGCTGCCAACAAGGTCAGACTATTCCTGGCTGTGAGCAGGTAGAGCAGCCACCAGGCACCTGCTTCCCTGCCCTCATCTCTGCTGGAAGAGGAAGGGAGTGAGGCTGGCAGGGACCCTCTTCTCAGCCTGGCACTGCTCTGTGGAGGCGACCCCCTTCCCTCAACATCTGCAACCACGAGAGAAGCAGCAGCAGAACAGGGGCTCCGGAGGCACAGCGGGAGGTGTTGCCACGTGCGGAGGGCTCAGGTGCAGGTCTTGCCCCAAAACCAGGGTGTTTGCCCATCAAGTTATAGCCATATATCCTGAAAAAACACTCCCCAGTCCTTCTTGATGCTTGTTTTCAAGTGATTAGCGGGACAGGCTGCTGGTTGGTCCATCACATGAGCCTTGCGGAGGGGCCTGCGTCCAAGGCCCAGCTGGGCTCCTCTCTGTTCCTCTGTGGCTGGGCATAGTGTGAGCTGGACGAGGCAGTGGAGGTGGGACGGGTGCAGAAAGGAGTGTTGCCAGGAACCAGGATGTCACAAAAGAGCTCCTGGCTCCATGCTTGAGTGAGGCAACTGCAAGAGGCTGAGGATGAGTGGCAGCTGGCTGAAGAGGAAGGGGCTGCCTTGCTTCATTCGTGGTCACGCTCCCTGTGGCGTGTGTGAACCCTTGCTGCCTGCATGTAAAGGTGTCGCTCAAGTGGCTTTGCTTCATGTCAGCTGGAAAACATCCCAGTTTTCCTCTCTTCAGGAGGTGTTTGGGCTGCTTTCTCCAAAGCCACTCAGTTTGTTAAATGCAGTCTAGAAATTCCCATCCACTGTACCTCCCACATGCACTTTCATTTGTGTGCTTGCTCAAAGTTGTCTCCAAGGCCATCCCCATGTTGGGGCTCCACAGCCTCAGCAGCTCTAGTCTGGATTTTGGGGTGCAACCAGCAATACAGAGCCTGACTGGCCACAAGAATAAATACTCCATTTGGGAAATTCCTAAATAACTGGTGTTTTGGTATCTAGCTAATAATAGAAGCATTTATGGACCCAGCTGTTACATATGTAAAACAAAAATATATGGCTTTTTTTTTTTTTTCTGTATCAAACTGTGCATGCAGGTTTACAAACTGCAAGCTAGTTGGTCTTGTCTCATTGAGGGGAAAAAAAAAAAAGCTATGCTGGAGTTTTCCATGAAAAAAATCTGTGTAGTAGGGGCTTCTTCAGCAGGCATAGCTCCCTCTTGATGCTAATGGCCTGCAGTTCATAAAGCCGCCAGCTAAACTTGTTATTTTTTTCCAATTATTTTGCTTCGTAATGCTGCATTTAGAGTTGGAGCATATTCTCTGGTTGTGCTAAATACCACCCACCTAGGGCAGCCCACCTGCATAAAGCAGGCTCGGGAGGGCATGCTGTTGTCGCCGGTGCCTGTCAGATGCAGCGGTGCTGCCTGCGCACAGCCCGGCGTGCCTGTTGTGCTGCCCTGGCGCCATGCTCAGCAGCTTTCAGCATCTGCACCCGTCCTTGCAGCTGCACAGCCCGACTGGAAGCGAATAGTTCCACTGCTGCCCAGAGCACAGCTGCGCAGCCCATGCCAGCTCACATGATTCCTCAGCCGCTTGGCTCGTCCTCCTGATCAGGTGCTGGCCCGTCCGGAGCTCCAGGTGAGCAATGTGGCTCTCGTTAGGAGCAATGGATCTTTGGAGGTTACCTCAGTCTGTTTGTAAGGTGCCTTTTAAGTATGCTTAAGAGCCATTTTAGAATCAGAGATGAAGGGGAGCAAAGAGGTCCTGAAACATTTAAAGTTTGGATTTCCGGAGGGTTTTGCTCTCTGTTTGTTTCATTGCCTGGAAACTGAGCTAAACAGGGCTCCACACAGACAGCAAGTTCCAGGCTCTCCAGCCGAGAGGAGCTGCTCCAGGGGCACCAGCAGCTGCACAGAGCATGCACAGGGCATGAGCCCCCAGCAGCGCCTTGGCAGTTTACAGACAAACCCTTCTGGTTTAGCTGCAGTGTCAGCAGACAAACCCTCATCCAGCTTTCATTTCACTGACTCTTTTGAAAATCATGGATAGGTGCTCTTTTTGTTATTAATTTTCCTCATATTATCCTCCATTTCCCTTGTGATTTCAACACCCCTAGAAAGCAAGGCATCCGCAGGGGTATTGAACAACCTGTGCCTCATCTCCGGCTGTGCTCTGCAGAGCAGCTACAAGCGCTATGAGCAGCGGAGTTGCCCTCAGAAGCACCAGAGCTGCAACAGTCCCTGGTGGCTACCAGGACGGGACCAGCAAGACACAGGGGTGTCAGTTCAAACAGCAAGGCTCACTAAAAAGTGCACTGCAAGGTGACAGTTTGAATTTATATAATCTGAGATTACTCCGCAGCACGTGACAAAGTTGCATAGCAGAAATCCTAAAAACACGGGCCTCTAGCTCCTTGGATATTTACCCAGCATGGCATCCCCAGAACACTTGTGCTTGACAGGATGCTGATCTTTATTTTGTTTTGCTACTAGAGTACTGAAGTTAAACATCATTGTTAGCCTTTACTGTGTAGAATAGTTAAATCTTTTCCTTTTTATTATGAATAAATTTCATTCCTGCCAGTTCAGTGTTGTACACTCAATACAGAATGACTACTTCAAACCCGCAAGTTTTTCTTATTCATAACTGATGAAAATAGTGCAGCTCTGTTTTGCAGATTTTCATGCCTGTTTTACTTCTTGTACAACATTATGGAAGACAAATTCTGCTTGGAACAGCGAGAAAAAAAATCCTAAAATGGCAATCTCTATGTTCAAATGCGTAGGCCGAAGTATTACCCGAATGCCTTACATTTGTCCCATGGCTAGAAATGGCCTGATTTCCAGAAGGGTTCAACTTCCCCGCTTCCCAGTGATCCCAATGAACTCTGAAAAGCACCTCTAACATCTGAGGCTCCTGCTCATTTTCTTCTTTCTTTGAAACTTTATACAGATTTATAAGCCAAATTATTAGAAATCCAGATTTGAGAATTTGGCCTGGGGAAAAAAAAATCTTTTTGTAATTTCTTTATTCATTGATTTCTTCTTCCTCGTCTTCAAACATTTCCTCCCCATCATTTGCTGTAGCTTCCTGGTACTGCTGGTACTCTGAAACCAGATCATTCATGTTGCTTTCTGCCTCTGTAAACTCCATTTCATCCATCCCTTCTCCCGTGAACCAGTGCAGGAAGGCCTTTCTCCTGAACATGGCGGAAAACTGCTCGGAAATCCTTTTGAAGAGCTCCTGAATAGCGGTGCTGTTGCCAATGAACGTGGATGCCATCTTGAGCCCGCGGGGGGGTATGTCGCACACGGCCACCTTGACGTTGTTCGGGATCCACTCCACGAAGTAGCTGCTGTTCTTGTTCTGGATGGCCAGCATCTGCTCATCAACCTCCTTCATGGACATGGGACCACGGAAGACCGTAGCCACGGTCAAGTATCGCCCGTGCCTCGGGTCACAGGCTGCCATCATGTTTTTGGCATCGAACATCTGCTGGGTGAGCTCGGGAACAGTGAGCGCCCGGTACTGCTGGCTGCCTCGGGCGGTCAAGGGAGCGAAGCCGGGCATGAAGAAGTGAAGGCGTGGGAACGGCACCATATTCACTGCCAGCTTCCGCAGGTCGGCATTTAGCTGGCCTGGAAAACGCAGCGACGTAGTCACTCCGCTCATGGTGGCGGAAACCAGGTGGTTTAGGTCTCCGTATGTGGGAGTGGTGAGCTTTAGGGTGCGGAAGCAAATATCATACAGAGCTTCATTGTCGATGCAGTAGGTTTCGTCGGTATTTTCAACCAGTTGGTGGACTGAGAGGGTAGCATTATAAGGCTCCACCACTGTATCTGACACCTTAGGAGAGGGCATGACACTGAACGTATTCATGATCCTGTCAGGATACTCCTCCCGGATTTTGCTGATGAGGAGGGTTCCCATGCCAGACCCCGTCCCTCCTCCCAGCGAGTGAGTGAGCTGAAATCCTTGCAGGCAATCGCAGTGTTCACACTCTTTTCTTACTACATCAAGTACAGAATCGACCAGCTCTGCTCCTTCTGTATAGTGTCCTTTGGCCCAGTTATTTCCTGCACCAGTTTGTCCTAACACAAGAGGCACAAAAAAAATATACAAAGTTATTGTTGGAGTATGGTACTTGAATACATCCTGGATGCAGATCACATTGATAATAAAAGCTACAGTAAATCTTTCAGATAGTTGTACTTTTCAGTTTTGCCCGCAAATATCTTTGGAAAAGTCAGCATGAACATTTTATATGGTCTTTTGCTTCAAATCCCTGCTAGTTTTCACATGTGTCTTTTTGGTTGAGTAGTTTTTAGGTATCTAACTTTCTATAAATACCTCAAGTCATCGTTTGAAAAGCCTCCACATTCCCAATCCTGCTTATTCCATAAAACACAAGGAGAGTGTTTACATTTAAATGCTTTCTGTTTATAAGAAATGGGAGATAAACAAAGCTAAATCACAGCTACATTTCTAAATGAGGGGTTCTTGGACTGTTCCTGCGAGTTGCTGCTTTTTCACAGGAGCCATCGGTGTTGTTCAAGGATGAGGCTGGGCTTAAGAAATGTTATTTCATTTGCCTGAATCAAAATACAGATCAAAAGAAACTTCCCTAGGAAGCTGCCATTATTCAGAATGTGCAAAGCAACTTGCTAAATGGAATTACTAATGTTTAATGAGCCCTTCATTTTCTCCCCATGGCTTCCATTTTCCTTTTATGAGCCCTGCATAATCCACTCAATATTTTACGATGGACGGTCTTGCTATGTCACCATTTCATTATTACTTGGAAAATAAAATGATTAAAAGGGAACACAGGAACCCCTGTTGCTTACAGTGTCTGCTGCTTAAAGGCACTGTGTCCGTGAGCTCAGCAAGCTGAGCCAAGAGGCACTTTCATGAGCAATACTTAGTTCAATCCGATGTACTTGAGTTTCACTGCACGGGAACTTGGTTTCCATACGTTGCACTTGCTTTGGTACTGCATTGTTCTATATGGTGCTCTGCTTGCCTCTCTTGAGAGCCTGCGAGGCTCAGCATTTCCTGACCAGCTGGACAAAGTACAAAATAAAATCTTTCCAAAACTAAACAGGATCAAAATCACCTGATGTGCACTTGAAGAGATCACCTGCTACAAACAGGGCAGCACATCACTCTGCCTACCAAGCCTCTGGAAGTAAACAGAAAGTTATCAAGTTCCATCTGAACTAAACCTCTAGGTGGAAAATAAAAGCGTGTACACAAAAATAGGGACTTACAGCAGATCTTACTAACCCTGGAAACTCTCTGCTGTATGAAGCCAGTCTCTGGCATCCTGTCTCTGCCTTTCTCATTGGGCATTTACAAGAGGAGGTCTACAATACCTCCCACCCCTGATCCTGTACTCTTGGCGCCTCCAGCTACCAGCTCCTCCCGCCACTTCCTCCTCCAGCACATCATAGGGCTATTACTGATGCTCAAGGTGAGCTGTGCACATACAGAAGCCATGTGACTAACAGACAACTTGTTTTTGATCCCGCGCAGCAACTCCATGTCCTCAATCTCCTTTTTCTCCTTCCTTCTCTCACTGCTATAACAACAGATAAGCCTGGGAAGACAGACTGTTAGGTTGCACACTAATGCCTCAGTGTGCACAGCACATCATTTAAAGGGAGAAAGGCAGCTCCTTTTGACTGCCCAACAGCCATTTTGACTTCCCCTACCAGTTCAGGCATAACCTAAGCTGCAGCGTATGCAGCAGAACAGGCAAGGATGCAGACAAGATGCAGGCCCCTCACCACAGGGCCACCCACACACATGTGCGCAGAAACAAGCAGAGACCGTAAACATTTCCCTCAGAACAAGCCCTGGCAGCCTGGGACATGAGCATGGAACTGCTAACTCCTGCCACAAAATCCTTTGTGGGCCCAAGCTAAATTTGTAAAGGAGAATACAAAATGCTTTGTTGGCTTTGGACACAGGAGATCCTTACTTCAGCACTCGGGCAGCCATTCTGCATTATTCAGCAGGTTGGGGGGCCGGTGCCTGACGCTGGCAGGGGGGGGGGGGGGGGCAG